ACTCGGGGGGCTCGAGCAGCGGGGCCGGCAAGTTGCGGAGTTAGCTCCGGGTTCGCCCGTCCGTCCGTGCCAGTCCTGGGCCGAGGCGCGGCCGCCGCGTGTCCCTGCGCCCGACCGGACATCGGTGGCCGGGACGCGGGCTGGGGTCGCGCTCCGCTCGGCTGCCCTCTCGGCCCCGAGTCCCGGGCGCTCCTCGCCACGCCGCTCGCCGACCTGCTGTCCAGCGGCGTCCTGGGCGGCGCCGGGCACCGCTCCCGCCTTTCGCCCGGGTGCCTGACTGCTCTGTGCTCGCCCGGCTCCCGGCCGGGGAAAGTGATAGCAGAAGGGACGGCTCTCCCGGACCCCCGGGCCCACTCTGTCAGGACTTGTCCGTCCCCTCCCGAGGGCGAGGTTCCTGGACCTGAGGCCTCAGCCGTCGTTTTACCCCGGAGCCAGGAACCTAGTTCGCAGTTAGGGTGAGCCAGGGGAAGTCCTGGGAGGCTCTGGGAAGCTGCTTTTCTCCCTTCTTCTGTGACCTCCTCTCTCTTGTTCTTATCGAATATTGTTGTTTTACGAAGGGTTTCCGTGGCAATATTCGACATTCCCTTCCATCCTTTCCTAAGTAGTTTCCTAATTTTAATCAGGAGTTGTTCCGTCTGAAGGGAACAAAGGATTCAACTGTGTCTTACAGGCAGACGAGCTGGGGTGACACATGTTGATCTCTGAAGCATTCCAGGAGTTTCTACCCTCTATCATGTTAGCGATTTAATTGGGTTCCAAAGGTAGCAAAAGAAGGGCAGAATGATCAGCACTTTTGCATTTAAAGCTTTTTCTTAATGAGATATTTTATTTGGGAGGAAAGACGTTTTTAGGTTCAAGGATTTTCAACTCGGTAGAACCGAGTTAGAGTTTGTCTCCGGTGATAGAAATTGTTGTGAGATTGCAAAGAAATATTGTCCTTAGAAGAGTAAACATTACCTATAAGTGTCTCAACTAAAAATGCTCGTCAGGTTATTTATGCTGAGTGCTCTTTATATTTCTTGGGGGAATTTGTCAAGCAAGGGGTTTTGGTACTTCATTCTTTAAAGTTATGAATTGCACTGAACCTCCTGCTTATTAGTGAATCATAGGTTTAAGCAAGTGGGTGGCATTATTCAATGTTTAATCATGAGTTTGCCACCTTTGTTGCAGAGACAGTAAAATAATAGACTTTTTAAACAAATGGTGCTTCATCTGCCTGGCCCTAAGTGTTGGCTGCTGCCTGGAATATGTTGAAATGTTTTTTAACTTCCAAGTGAGTAAATTGCTCTGGTTTGCTCAGCAGTTTGGTAATGTCCATAGGGTTTGTCTGGATCAGGGAGCAGTGCCTTCATCACCAATAGTAACTTTTCTCTGCTTGAGCTTAGTTCTTAGAGACAAAGGAGAGTCAATCAATGGAACAGCTATTATTACTACCCTGCAGGCTGTAGGATTGGTTACTGTGGTCTGTTTTATATTCTGGTGGGGAAAGATCTCTTCCCAAACTTAACCTTAAAAGTACCATAGAACCGAGAGTAAAATATATATATATACTTAAAAATATAAGGACTACTCTGTGTTGTTCTTACTCAAACAGGTTCTCAGCAGTGCCTTCCAGGTAGTTGAAAACCAGGTTTAATCCCCATGGGAAGATTTGACTTAGCACCACTTCTTAGATGTGTTTCCAAACTCTGCAAACTTGGATTTTACTAATTTAAACACTCTAAAATATTGTAAGTTCACACTAAAGAAATGTGTGAAGAAGCTAAAAGCTCTTCTGACTCTTGCAGTTTTAAGAGCAAAACGTCATGATAAAAAATAACTATACCACCACCTAGAGTCTGTTTGTTAGTTTATTGCATCTGAAGTTTGCTTGACTTGACATGTCTCTTGCAGTTCTTATATAGTCAAAAAATGATTAAGAAACGATAGCTTTCGAAAGGCCATCCAAGAGAACAATGATTTAAGTAATAAATAGCAAGTGCCAATTTAAATTATCTGAGCCACCTTTAGGATTGAAAATTATGATGTATCAAGTTGAATGGGCTATTCTCCAAAAGGTTTTGATTCAAAAGAATTTAAAACAGGAAAATTTCAGCTCATGTTTCAAGGTAGCTCGGATTGCTTAAAGACTTTTCTGTGGTGTTCTTGTAGATTCAAGACATCTTATAAATTAAATGCCAGCAGAGCTTTCTGAAGTCCAGGTGAAACAAAAACAATGATAAAAATATAGGGGAACCTTACAGCCACAGACATTCTGGAAACTCAGAAGTTCAGAGAGAATGTAGGCTGTGGCAGAGTTGTGGTTCAGAGATGTGAAAAGTAAAATCAATGTGAATTAAAGTGCTAATCTATTTTGCTGGTGGTTCATGTGTAGTAAAGCAATCTATTACATGGGAGACATTAGGGAGGCAGCTTAGTTGGCCGTGTGGCTTATCACATTGCCCGTGGAGGAAGTAATGTTCCTCCTTTAAGTGGTATAGCCCGAGAGAAAGATGGCCTCCAAGATCTTTAATTAAATACCAGTTGAACAGAGAGAACTAGAGCACTGTATTAATTCCGTCAAACATCACTATTTTAGAACATTGAGGACAACTAAAAATGAATTAACTCATATCTGAAAGCAGAATTTTATGGAAGGTGACAGATGAGGCAAAATATGTCAGTCTGATGGAACAAATAAGATGAGGAGATATGCCATCCTCTGTTCTCTGGAAAGATGAGAGGAAAGGAGATCATTATTAATTGCACAGATTCATCGCAAACCAGTACTGGAAGACAATGACATAGAAGTAATTTTAAATAATAGTGGCCCAGGACGTCTGGAGTTAAAGGATACATGGAAGGAATTAGGTTTTTCATTTTAAAACTTAGGAAGTACCAGAAACTTCAAAGTGTTATTTGGGAAATGCGGTAATAGTTTTGTGTCTCAGGTTAAAAGATAATTCTCCTCAGAATAAGTTTAAAACATCTAATTTTGATTAAGGAAAAGAATTGTTCACTTTAAATTCTGGTAGGTTCAGTTTCTTTTCAGACTTTACATTGCCTGATCCAGTTTTGAGAGGGTTTCTGGAGAAAAAGAGTTCTAGTGTCTCTATCCTTCACCCTCTCCCCAACCCCCTTTACTCTCTTTCCTTTTTCTAAAATAAACAGCTTCTACAGTTTGGGATGTTTTCTTCCGTGAGAATTGCCTTACTCTGCAGCTTCCCTTCTTGGCTGTGGTGGGGTGAAGTTTCTTTACTCTTGTACTTTTTCCCCTCTGCACTTTCAAGTGGTCGATACACAGAGTGGGTTTTGTTTTTCGTGTTTTTGATAATGATTTACTGTTACATGGAGGAGGACCAGGAGAAAGCATTTGCTATTCTAACAAAGCCTGTGTACCCATGTCTTCTGACTGGAGAAATATTTATGCTAATGTAATCTTGGCTGCTATTGAAAAGTCAAAGCATTTTTAACGGACTAGGGTGGGGGACTTACTGGATGTATGAGACTGAATCCATGAATTAAATTTCTCAAAATGCATTTCCTTCAGTTGCAGTCTTTTCAGGGAACTTTGGTGAGGGGGTATGAGCAGACTCAATTCTGGAATATTTAGGTAAGGCACCAATCAGAGAAACGTAATACCGGGATGGTCTCCAGGACTTGAGAAGGTAAAAACCAGGAGTGTCAGGTGATGAGGCAGGCCATTGGATGGAACTGAGGATTATGGAGAGAGGGTGGAGTGAACAAAAAGTAAATGGAGGAGAGAGATCTTGTTTCCCTATCCTGTTTGCATCTGATGCTGAAGCAGGGACGTGAATTGCTGATGGTGGATTCCCTCTTATGGGGCCAGCAGTATCATATAAATAGTGGTTGTTTGAGGGAGAGAAATGACAAGTTCCCCATTGGTGCATGTGCATACTTTTTAAATGTCTTTTAAAGACATCTAAAGTAGAAGATCAAAACTGGGTACCAGAATTCAGTCAGGAGTTAAAGTTTGTCTGGAAGTAAATTAGTATGAGATCATTTTTCTTTTCTCTGTTTTTTTTAAGGTCTGGAGTTTTCTAAGAGTCTTGGTCATCATGGGAAACTGTTTTGAGTGCTGAGGTTTGGTTGATGCACTGGGTAACTCTTCTGTGGTATCTCTGATAAACATACTTGATGTAAATGACTATAGAAAGAATGCTTTCTTTAAGTGCGTTATCATGTAATTCAGGGTGCTGGGAAAACTGAGACCAGAGAGATCCCCGAAGTCCTATCAGTGTTTCTTTGCAAACTATTACATAGATGCCCATCTGTTGTTTTTTTTTTTCTTCCTTGAAATGTAATGTTCAATTTGATGGCTACTGAATATGTAGGATTCTAAAAATTTGAGTTTATTTAAAACAGAACTTTCCTTTTGTTTTGCTGTATGTATGAAAGTCTTAATTTTTCATAATAAACATAGGTACTGAGATGAGTAGGAAGTTATACTAATTTTTGTCACTGTTAACATATATACTCTATATCATGAGCCTTCAAATTGATCTCTGTACTATCTTGCAAATAGAGCATTACTAAATTTGTGACATTTTTTGTTATCAGTACACCTGAGATATAATTTTTCTTACGTTCATAAAAATGGAGAAAAACAGGAATGAGTTAATAATAGAGGCAATATATTTTACTACTGTATTGGGGTTTTATTAAAATTAATATTTTGAATCTTGCTAGAGATAAACAATTAGCTTAGAACGCTAGACATAGTATAAAGAGAAGCAAATTAAAAGAATTTAGAAGTCTGATAACTCAAAAATGGAGAAATAAACAACACTCTTTGGGCTTATGGGGAAAAGGATCTTTACTATATTTACTTAATGGTACTAATTTTTTTTTTTAAAAGCTATAACCAGTTTTAAGATAGATTGTTCTCAAAGATAATAGTATAAATAATTACCTGTTAAAGAAATTATTATACATATGATCAGGTTTTTGTTGACATAATTTCAAGATCTCCAGCATGTGTTGCAATTTTGGCTGGACAGGTAATTGTGACATCCATCCATTCATCCATTCTCTCTCTCCTTCCTTCCCTCCTCTGTTCCACTTTCAAGAAATAGTATTGGATTAAAGACGGGTTTTGTTAAACAACTTGGAAATATCATTCTCTGACAGGGTTAATAGTTAGCATAGTTCACACTCCCCAGGAAAATTTTTAACTTCTTACACCTCAGGGAATAAAAACTCTAAATTAAAATCCATCTTGCCTCTTAACTTTGTGTTGTTTAACAAAACTGTCTTGAAGGATGAAAGGGAAAGACCTTTATTTACCTTAAATTCCAAGTCACTGTCTGACTAAGCTCAGTTTCAAGAAATATTAAACTAGAAGCCTGCTGGGAATTTGAGTCATCGGCTTAAGATACCACCAGGACCAGGACGGCTCTGGTTGACCTGATATTGCTGTTTATTCAGAGCTTTGGTGGAAAGGAGTCGCTTATCC